TTGTGATATAGCGATTCTCAAATGTATATTAGGCGAAGAAATTGAAAATGATAGCTGTCGCAACGATGTAGCTGACATTATCCACCAAGGTCTGGCAATTAGACTAGTCTAGTCAACAAGCAGTTCCCACATTACCTGTTTCAACATGATGTTCTAGCAAACTTGGAAGTGTAAAGTGTACCGAGATAGGGAAATTATTACAGTTCCACACCAACAGAGGATACTGCTTCTGGACAAGAATAAGAAGGTCTTTTTTCATCTACATTGCTGCACTCCTTGCTCAAAACCACACACACACACACACACACACACACACACACAAAGATTAGAGGAAGACAGAAAAATAGCAACGGCCAGCAGAAAAAATAACGAGTTCGTGGAAATTGGAAGATGTCAACATTGTACGGTTTAGTACTTGCCTTATGGTTTAACACATTCTTCCTCTCGCCAGATGCTGTGAGAGAAAAAAGTAATAATAATTATAATAGTAATAATTTTAATATGAATAGTATGAATACCTATTTGGGCAATGGAAATTACAGTGAAACCCGGTTTGATTTTTTTTCTGATTTTACATTTTAGTAGTAAAATGTTTCGTGAAACCGATCATTTTAGCTCTTCAGATACTGTGAATTGTTACAAAAACACTTTTATTTGTCTTAACAATGTCCGAAGACGTCAAACGATTTGTTTTTCAAAACGTTGTGGTAATAAAATGCAAAATAAAAAAACAATTAAACTTGATTTCACTGTAGTATAAATTATCTCAATAGGTGTTCCAACTATTCGTAATATATCCGGGGTTTCCAGAATTTTATCTTTAACCGCACCCATAAAATATTATTAATAATAATAATAATAACAACAACAACAACAACAACATTCAAAATCATCTTTTTAGGTAAAGTGGCAACAGGTCGACGGGGTGTCCCTCTCCGATTTGGCTAAATTTTGGTTCGTTGAAAGAGTAGAAGAAATAAGCCTCACCTTTTTACTGCACAACACTTTAGTTTTGGAAAGTTATTTCATACCTCTAGGTATGAAATAACTCTCCAAAACTCGGGACCTAAAAGGGTGATTTCACTTTTTCGCACAAGAAAACTGCAATATCTTCCAGGAAACACAATTACAAAATGCCTGTGAACCCAAGCACGTTACAAATTCACTTTGATGCATTATCCTATGAAATATTGCGAGGAGTAAATTACAAGTACAAAATCATATTTATCAATGCCGAGGTAAGCACAAAGGTAGGAATATGAAGAAAGAAAAAGAAAAAAAGAAATTTATAATACTTGACTTAAAAGAATGATCATGATTTCATTTCGTAACGTGTTCTTTTAGGGGGGTATCTATAACGAACATCATACAGTGTTCATTTATTTATTTATAATTTATTTATTTATTTATTTGTTTATTTATTTATTTATTTATTTATTTATTTATTTATTTATTTATTTATTTATTTATTATTTATTTATTTATTTACGTGAAAAACCGTGTGTGACGTACTATGAGGAGAAGTTAATTTGAAGTTACATTTATGTCCAGAAGCAAAACAAAGGGCCATCTCAGCATTTTCTCGAGGATCAGGGAAACTGCACGAAAACCAGATCGAGATGGGGTCAGTGGCCCAGGAGCTGAAGAAGTACAATACTTGTTACATGTTCTTTAGAATTATACAATCCATATGGTATATAATACATTAAATGCGACGTTAAATTTAATTGTAAAAACTAATATTACTTTCCTTTTGGATGCTCGGTGTAGTCTCTAATTGTATAGAAACAGTTGTGCACCAGAGAATATTTTACTTGGGACCTAAACGTGAAACCTAAACTAGTTTCAGGCAAGAATTTATAATTCAACATTTGTATGAAACACTTATACAACACTTGTAGAAAATCCTCATGAAATGCAGAGTATTTTTCATATAATGGAATTAAACCCACACCATCATTTCATGAAAACAAATTTTAGCTGCCTTTTGCTTAGGAATCTGCTCCTTAGAAAACTGGTTGCAACCCGGCGTAAACTTTATATTCAATCAACTTATAACATACTTAGTCGTGAAGTAGAGGAATAATAATAATAGTAATAGTAATAATAATAATAATAATAATAATAACAATAATAATAATAATAATAATAATAATAATAATAATAATAATAATAATAATCTAGTTTTTCCTTGGCACTAAATGTTTATATTGCTAACATGAAATGCGCCGCTTTTTGTAAGGACTCTCCTTAATTGCTCCAAAGGCGCTTTAATTGCGACGCCTTGAGCTTGGGGAAGAAACCGGAAAACTGGTACGCTCCCGTTTCTGGAATTCCCGGCACCTACTGTTGACGCGGTTCGGATTTCCGGTTGCACGTCAGTGCTTTCGTCAAAAGAATTAAGTCATGATGAGGAAGTGGGGTGCATATTACTGCATCTGACTTTTTTTTGTGCAATGCAGAAAACTAGATTTCGAGAAAAAGTTTCCTTTTTTTCAAAATTTGTTTTCAATATATTTTCGTTATGGAAAATACAAGATTCCCATCGAGTGGTATTAAGTCACCATAACAACCATTTACGTTTCACGTAACACATAATATCAAAATTCAAGGAAATGGATTTCTGAGGAGAAGCTATATTTTAAAAATATTGATTGATAGCGATGATGAAATACATGACCAGATCTTAGATGTTTACCCCCTTCTCTTGTAATTCTGAAAGCCACTGAAGCTTGCCCCGAGTGCTCGTGCTTTAAGACAGCGTCGTTCGCAGCCTGGCTCCCGCCCTCGTCTCCACCCCATCCCCGTCTCCTCTCCCGGCCCCGACGTCACCGTCACCGCCCCCGCCGCAATGCCAGGCTTCCGCTGCTCGCCTGATTAGAGTGGGCGTCGCGGGTGCGCTTGCCAAGATAGGACACGTATCTTGGAGAAGCAGCAGAAGCAGCGAACAATTTCCACACTGTGGCTAATAAGTGGAATTGCTCTCATGGTGTTCTATGACTTGGATCTCCTTTCTAGTCCCTACGAAAGTGCGACTCACCGCAATATGCAGGGATCCAAGTCAATTGTCAATTTGTGATACTTTATTATTATTATTATTATTATTATTATTATTATTATTATTATTATTATTATTATCATCATCATCATTATTATATTACATAGACCTAACTTGGTATCGGGTCTCATGATCAGTAGTAAACTAGAAAAATCGTGATCCAGTTGTGGTCCTGCACCCAGGAGCTCATATTCGGAAAAAGTTAAGGAACCACTAAAATTATGAAAACAATAGGGGTTTGCTTGTGTAGGGAGAAAAGAGTGAAAATAATCAGTTCTGAAGAATCTAAAGGACAGATAAAAAAAGTTTGGCAGACTTAATGAAAACAATGTGATTCGATATTTTCCATTATGACAAAGGTTGGATGCACAGTAACCTACAAGCTGATGCCTTAAAGGTGTCTTAACAAACACAGTGTTTCTTGTCACTTATCAGACAGTGTCAATGGTTTGTTAACACTCGCTATTGAACACAGTGTCGTCCGATAACTGGCAAGAAACACTGCTGCTGTAGAGGCACCAAAAGTTGAAAAAATGAACAGGCTACATTGCAAAATCTACAGTATAGGAAACTTTTCTTTTGGCTTTCAAGGGTCGATAACGATGGAATATGTGTCTCAATGAAAAAAAAGAATTGTTAAGAAAATGCGTCAGAAATCGATTTTTCAATTAGAAGAAAGAGCATACGGAAGGAAATTGAAGACTTTAAGAGTAATATCACAAAAATAAAAGTCGTTGAAGATGGAATACAAATTTTAAGTAAATAAGTGAAAACGACAATTTTGTTGACATGGATGCTGGGAACGTGTCATGTATTGTCAACAGTTCTCTGGAGAAATGCTCCACATTAATCGAAAGCAACAGGTATTATACAAGTTTGAGGGAGAAATGTGTGCAAGAGTACGCCTATATGTACATTTTAATTAGGAAAGCAAACTTTCCGCCTGAATCAGTGGAAAACGTTTTAAAAGTTGATTATTATTTTGATTTAGAATATTACATTCGAAACAAGAGAGGCATTGAGACATACAAAAACAGTGTACGAAACGTATAGTGTGAATAGCTATGTACATTACACTTTCGGTATTTGAGATTTGCTGCTGTAAAATGTTCAACATTTTCTGTGATGTTTTGTTCCAAACAGTTAATTAACGGTTAATGACCTGAAAAAAAAAGTTGCAGTGCCAAAGAGATAAGCGGTGTAAGATGTGCAATAAGACTGAGTCCAATATCAACTACCAAGAAACATAATAATATTTATCGTTCTTTTGTAATATAAAGGTATATTTTTCTACCAGGAGATATTTAAAAAATAGTCATTGAAGCTCTGCAAAAAACTTCCGATTCTTTTTTGTGTCCATGAGCTTCGAACCCGAACTTTATTATTTGTTGTTTCCGAGCGTGTCAACTGTTAAGGTCTATAATCCCATATGTGTAGTGCATGTTATATCCTGTGAGTTGGAGTTGTTCCTCCCTCGCTGGAAAGTGATCCGACGCCGACATACACGTCGGATTGCGGGGTTTCCCCCTTGAGGTCCCGTCGTCAGCGAGGCACCGGTCCAGATGGGATACTGTGTAAGCTCGCCACATGTGTAGTAGTAGGAAGGATGCGGAAGGGAAGATCTAGCCACGTTTGTTAGGATATTTCTCCGACATTCACTTGGTATTGATAACAACACGGAAGGAGCTGGGGGTTAGAGTTTGCTGCAAACGGCGATTGAATTCGACCCAGCTGTTTAACTAGTGCCGGGTCATCACTTTGCGGACTCGAACCAAAGGATCGCCCTGACAGAGACTCTTGAGTGGCAACAGCCTTTGCTTTGAATTACCGCAGCCGGTAACCTTTCCATTGTTACGTACTGTGGCTTTGTGAGAATCGTTGTTCTTCGGGCGTTCTTGTGTGAAAACTACGTGCGAGGGTTATTGCCATTATGTGTTGTGACATGCCAACGTGGCCATTGCGTCGGCTGTGGCCCGAGCCGCGCAGGGCTTGCCGAAGGCGCTGTTCGGGCCACCGACCTGCGCCCTCGTGGCTGCGCCGCCCTGCGCCGCGCCGCGCCGCGCCCGCGCCGCGCCCGGCCGCGCCGCGCCGCGCCGCGCCGCGCCGCCGCCCCGCGCCGCCCACGCCACGCCACCCGGAGCAACCGACGGCTTATCACACCACGCCCAGGCCAGCCGTCCCCGCCCGCCTGCCCTCCCGCCGGCCGCCTCTGCCAAGTTGCGCGCGTGACGTCAAGAGCGTTTCCGCGCGCACTTGGCAGGCGACTCGCCGCCGGATTGGCCATTAAGCAAAATTGTGCATTGGGCTGCACCCGTGTCCCGGGCGATAACGAGCGGTGCTCTTGGCGTGGGCGGGGCGCAGAGCTCTGGGGGTGCAGAGGGCGCGAGGCCCAGGCGAGCGCCTGCGTGACAGTCGCCCTCTGCTGCTCGCTGGGATGCTTGCGGCTACCGGACGAGGGCGAACAGAATGACGGATTACTTCACGGGAGCGGTGCAACTACTACACTATGCATTATCGACACTTGCCCAAGAGCTTCGTTTGCACGGTATGTACATGGCAAATACAGAGGAACACATCATTTGACGGTGTTTACAGGATATGTATTTAACATGAAGTATAAGTTGGTAGAATAGACAATTGTGGATATTTTCTTATCCTTTGGAAGATAATTTCTCGATTTCCTTTATGCATTCTTTAACAAATTGTTGCCGTACATATATATTTCGATTTCTGTCTTCTTTAGCACAATTCACGCAACTGTTCCATCCAAGTCGTAAACCTTTGTCTTTCTGCATAACTTGTATTATGGCTGACAGTAAAATAGTACATTTTCTAAGAAATGCCACATTTAATCTTTAAAATAAAAACTCATTTTTTCTCAATTTCAGTATTAAATGTCGTAAGGCATCACTAGCGAAAACGGGCATGCGTATCTTCAAACAACTTCTTCAGGCACTTTTGTATTGAGCAGTTGGCACGCAGACGCGTAACAACAGATTGTGTCCCCGGAGTTGTCTGTAGAAGATGCTATGTTTCAAAGAAGGAAGAAACGCGCAGCACAGGTGACAGAGAGGAGGTTTATTCTGTTGCGCTCTTCCGCTGGAGCCATGACGGCGACGCTTCTAAGAAAAATAGAGGCAGCTGGTGGAGGATCTCGCTGGCCTATGGACAATCGAACCCTCTTGTATTACGTAACATAGGTATGTGCATGAAAGTGCTAATACAAGCTGTGGATCGTTTGACTGGTCGCACGCGGTGGGGAATGAAGGAAGGCAGTAAGTAAGGATGGAGCGGAAGGGAAGGAAGAGTGCCAAAGACGTAAGGAATGGAGAGAAGTGTGAGTTTTCCCGCATTAACGATAAAGACAACAGATAAATTAGAGCAATTTCGTGATATCTTCGTGAGTTGTATGAATTTCTCCTCGACCGCGAGCATTGGCGTGTTCTCGCCTCCTGAGCTGCGCCCCCTAAGCAGCGACTCCTTAGCTGTGCACCCTGAACTCCGCCCCAAGAGCTGCGCCCCCTCCCTAAGCTTCGTTCCCTGAGCTACGCCCCTGGTCAGCACGGGAAGTGCGGATTCCCTTCTGGCTTCACATACCCGACTGGAACTTTCCAATATTCCCCTAATTTAGAAATCGATGTCTCATGCTGTTGCATTCCGCCTGATGCACTGCAGTTTACGGCGTTTGACTACGCGCAGAAAGAAGTGTAAAGGTTATTGTGTCTTGTGTGTGCGATATTTACTTGTGGATTAAAATATATTAGGGAGAGAGTATATTGTTATAACTTACAGCTTGTCATTGATGTTTTAAGAAGCGCATTTTTCAAATAGATTTGTGTGTCATCACACAGAATTTGTTTACATTTAGACGTGATTCACGACTTTAATCACGCTTTTTTATGCTAAAGTAGGTCTTTATGTTCACCGGGATTAATGTGGCACTTTAATCCCTGTAGCATTAAAGTATCTGCGAAAAGTAAACAATCCAGAAATGCCAATGCAAGAAAAACCAAATATTTATTATTTCATGTTTATATTTCATTTATTCATAAAAGTTTACATGTTTACCTACATATTCTCTACACATAACATTTTATTCCTAATAGATTCATCAATGTATTCTTCTGTAACCGATTTGGCTTTCCATCCCCCATGCCGTTTTAGATCTGCCAGGAAACTAGCAGACTGTAGTCGTTTTCAGTGCCCAGTGTACCAGAATCATAGGCACGTTTCCAAAATATTTTTTTCCTTACTGGTTGAATGGTACTTTTCTGGTTGCGAAGACTTATGCATTACTTGAAAAATGCTTATTGTTGGTGGTAGGTAAGGCATGTAAAGACTATTTTCTCATTATCTCTAGTAATTAAACTCTATTTTCTTAATCAACATTAGTGAACAGTCCGATGTGTTTCGAGTAAGGAATTTTAACTACAACAACACAACTTTTGTGCCGCCCATTTTGTACTATTCAAACATTCGACCCCCACCAGCGGAAGAAAGCGAGTTTGAAGATATGACTAATAAATTATGAACGAGCAGAAATTCTGGCCGTCAGCTATAACAATTCGTTATCATGAGCTTCTTTTATAAATTTGTGGAATTCATGCTATGAAAAATTGTTCGATTTTCTTGGCTTGTAACCTTGTAACCTTCATTTTGTCGCTTCAAAAATACAACCAATTTACAATATCTGTAAAAAGTATAATTGATTCATTCCTCAAACAAATACCGTTAATCTTTCCGAGATAAGTACGTTTGTACTTATGTAGGATATCAACGTTTTCGTTAACACGAACAGTTACTTTCTGCATAGAATAGTAACACCAAAGTGATGGTGGCAGGTAGGATTTTAATAAATTAGTAAAGTAAGCGAGTATAATGTTTTCCGAAAGACATCTCACTTCCGTGTCATATCTCTAGCTGCTGAAAGTTTCGTATTCTTTCTCGTAAAATAGCTTGGATTTTTCAAGCAATAATTTCTCCACTGAAAATTCTGTTTCTCTTATGACATCAGGACAAGTCTCATCATCAGAGTCTAAATAATACTTCTTACACTGTATTTGAATATGCCTCCATTCTTCAATGCACAATGCAAACCAACCAATTACGGCCACCTTGAGTAGTGAAAATGACTTCCAAATGGTCACCACCTAGGAGCCTACTCAAGATGGCTGTACCAAGTGGTATAGATGGGTACGCGGGATTGAAACTAAGCAAAAAATAAAGAAATGCGATTAAAAATAAAATGTTGTGGATTACACGGGGATTAACTGAGCTTCATTCACTTGGGAGAAACATGTCCCGAGTTCTATTATTGCTAATCGCACTTAAACTGAACGTTATTTTTGTAGTAATACTATTGCAATCGTAGCGAAATTGAAATGAGTAAGTGTGATATGCCGTTTACGTTTACTTTTTATTCCCGTACGCTTTCTTAAAAAAATGTTTGTTAAATTTTCACCACAACGTTGTACAAGCTTTGAAACACGTCTCCAGGCATATGAGTGACTAAAGTGGTCTTCCATTATTATTATTATTTTTTCATTATATATTTTTACTCTCCACAGCGTTTCATAAGTAGATTCCATTCACATCTAGGCTTGTTTGACTAATGTACTTCGCTTTTACCTGTGTTCCACTGCGTGCAGACTCACAGTCCGCCGCGACTACTTACGTTTTAAAATATGGCGCGACTACTACGAGGGTTAACAATTAATGGACGGATTGTATGTCATGCTAATTCCAAATTGTTCTTGTAGCGGGTCATCAGTACTAGAATTAATATGGATACAGAAGTCATCCCTTAGCGAAAAAGCGTATTTCATGATGAAAAGCTGTTTTCGTTCTCGTATATTTTATCATATATTTAATATGATATTTTACCAACATTCTTCTTCGTTGAGAAGAACGTATGAAATTACTTTTTTAATCACAATTTGATATGTTCAAATACGGAATTTTGCCTCTACTTGTGTACAAAGTCAAACTTCTCAGCTGCCCCCTCTCATCTAAGAAGAATCCAAACCTGTCACACATCCACCGTATTTTCTGATATTTGTAAAAATATTCCTACTTGTGAAATAAAATGGAAATGCGGGAGACGGTGGTGTTCCTTGAAGGAGGGTGTTCCTTGAAGGAGGTGTTCCATGACCGCAGGGCATTCTCCATCTCTTCCAGAAAATCTCCGAAGTGGGCATTCCAGTGAAGTAGAGTGTTGCCGCGGGAGTGCTTGGACCTGTCCTTGACGCCAGTTTGCCACCGGTAGCCTCTGACCCATTGGGCGTTGCAGCTTGAAACTCCGGCTGCACATGCCCTCCTAGTGATCAACACTTGCACCAACGTGCAACAAAGTTTGCTCGATTGGGGTTCCCTACATCGTACGTACCGTTGCTTTATTTGACATGTGTGAATAATCCCACCTGGTTTATGTTTTGAAAAAAAAAAAAGAAAAAACAACACACTTTCTATTTTTTATAATTATACAATAATGTATGTCATGGAAATACTTATGTGAGTTTCCTGGCTTCAATGGAGTAACATATATTGGAAGATTTATGTGTCTCTAAATACTGCGGCTTATAAGAGTACACATGAACACAGCTATAAACAGAGTTATTATATTGAATTTTCTTTGTCAAATAATTTAAACGATAAGGAAAACACCTATCGAATTTGAAGAAAAACACCTTTTGGAACATTGTGTACCACTATATTGTCAATTGAATCAATGATTATTTTAGTGATCTAATACTTTCAAATTTGCAATTAATAATTTTGACAAATTTTGTCGTGGTCAGGTAGAAGTGTATGAAATACTATATGACAAATAATTATTGTACATAACAAAAGGACTTCTACAGAACTCTTCGATTTCTGATATTATTTTTTGAAGAACCAGGTTCCCATTTGTTTAGATGTAGTAATAGGAATTTACAATGGTACATCCATGCATAGCTAATTCAGCGTGTGAACGTGAGTCAGCAAACGGAAATGTTTTAATACATCTGTATCACGCCATGAACTCTCACAGCGCAGTTTGCATTATGAATGTGTGTTCGCCGCACGGCCGCTGGTAGGAATTTCGTGCCGAGCAATAACTGGAAACGAATTTCGTGGTGTTCTATTGTTATTCTGGCAGGAGCGTCCAGATGTGGGGACGGGCAATTTGCCCCAGGCCCTTTCCGAATTGGGACCACGAACATTTGTATTTGATTGAAAAGAAATAAAAAAGTTTGTTTACTTTTAATTCAAATCAAATCAAGTTATGTCTGTTGCTTGGAGAAATGGGGAAAATGGGATAATTATTTATGAATGGGAGGGGGAGGAACGTGCGTATGTAATAAGGGGCCTCCGTGAACCTACTGCTCTAGGACTCTTGCTTTGCTCTTGGCGCCCCTTTTTACTCGCTCTTGATTTTCCGAACATCATTGTACTTGCTTCATAGGACTTCGAATTACCGAGAGTTGAATACGTGCGAGCAGCGATCTATGTTTAGTCTTTGCAGACATGCGTTTAGCGCATACGTTTCCTATATCATCAATATTGAAGAGAAGTATTGCTATTGCCGTATAGAAATGTTTAACGGGTCTAACATCTGTAAAATCTTATGAACACATAGTGCGAATATTCACTTCTATTATTGTGAGTAACAGATTATGCTTCATTAGAGTTTTCCATGCTTACTCATAATTTAATTATTAAAATTATTAATGGTATTAAGTTGATGAAATACTGTTACACTTAAATGCAGTTCTTGCAAATAGCCCCACGACCAGTCGCCACAAGCCGCAACCCGCGGCTCTCGCCTGTCGCCCCCCGCCCCCCGCCCCTCGGCCGTCGCCCGTCGCCCCGTTGGCTTCGCCGTGCTTCCAATGCCGCGCCGCCCGTGGCCCGTGCTCTGCAGCGTTACCCAACGCTGTGATGTAACTGACGGCGAAAAAGTGAATATCTCCCGCTGAGAGAGGATACGCTCGCCGCAAGGTTGTCGTTTTTATATCCTTGAACTTGGCCACTCCCTGGGCCAACTTTCCAAGGGCCGGATGATGCCGAATGGTTGGAGCGTTGTAGGATTTCCGTCGAGATTTAGAAAGCAAGGCGGCATATTAATGTGAGATTGTATTTTTCACGTTTGGAGTACGAAAGTAAAAGAAATCAAATATCCGAATACGTATTGAAACGATTATGAACACAATAGAAGCAACTCCTGTTACTATAATAAAAAATGTTCATGTATTCACATTCTTATTAGTGTAACAGGGATTACTGAAATAGACGGATGAATGACTGTGAGTAGTTGTTTGTTTTGTATATTCGGCATTTTGTCAACATGACGAACCGCGTAGCGTATAAAATTACAAAAACCGCAGTGCAATGTTGCCAGTGTAGTACTTTTCGTAATACTGTACTGTTATATTCTGACATAAGGAAACAGGAGTGAAAAGGAAGTCTTAACGGCCGGCACCCGTGAAATTTTGCAAGTGTCCACTGTCCATTAAAAACAATCGAACAAATGATTTCTTGTCAGAGATGTGATATGAACACTGCTAGTTCAAGAAAAGATATTTCGTATTCATGTGATTTTTCTTATAAGACGGTAGTATTGCAAAAAATATTGAACAACACACGGCCAATATCGCAATAACGTATTTGGTTGTAAACGTTGCCTATCGCCTCAGTTTACAAACTTCAACTGCTTCATTTATTTGCTCTTTACCTGCCTAATAATGTTAATATATGTGTATATATTTGGCATTTTGGGTCGATTGTCCGACTTTGCCCGCCCGCTAACGGCGCCACATGCCTGGGCCTAGTTTAATTTCCGGGGGAGGGGGGTAAGAGACACATGTAGCGAACATTTCGTATTCCTTTCACCGCAACTAGCAAACTTTGCTACAACTCTATATTTTCCGAGATTGGAATACGAACCTGGGGTCGTCCAACGGGAAGCTAGTGTGCTGTCCATTAGCCACCTGCGGCTATGATGATGAAATAATAATTACATATATATTTCGGCTCCCTCTCACTGGACGTCGCACGGCTGGGTGCTTTGGGGGAAGTCGCACGCGAAATGTTTTTGCATTTGAGCGATTCTTGTGTTAGACCATTCTCTGATTGTTACGTATGTCCCTTGTTCGCAATCGTTTCTGTTCTGCTTGTTTACGTGCTTCCTCTAACGATCTCGTGAGAGGTCTTGGTGCACATTTTGTGCAGAAGTGCCAAACTATTTCAAAAAATAAATCTTATTTACGACGGTAGACAAAATATTTAATTTCTAAAGTAGTACTTTTCAAGTTATTGTGTTTTCAATTCACTATTGTCTATCGTAAGACTTAAATTCAGTCATCACAGACACATGTAGCTGTATAAATAAAATTGTTTGCGTGTTTTTCTGTGATTTCGAAATAACTTCCGTTTTCGTCATTTGGATATTTAAATGATATAAAAACCAATTTAATTGTTCTTACGATTTTTGTCTGTCCGAGTCAAACTCTGGAAAGGCTAAACCGATTTCGAAACTTATTTTAATGAAAGGGGGAGTGTCGTGAATGTAATGTAGACTATTTTTTCTAATTATTATTCTCTTATAAGAAGAATGTTGTATGCGTGTGTGTGTGTTTTCATACAAATCTACAATTGTATCCCGAGCTTAATGAAATTTTTTGCACTTGACCTTCAAAACAAGAGAAAAGTTACTATCTGTATGAAATGTAAAAATTAATCCTTCCTTAGTTGTGCCACCTACATTTAAGTGTGCACTCTATCAGTTTTTTGCGAATATTGCGTTTTTATTTATTATTTAGTTCCAGTTGGTCCATTACGCATCATTAGTAATTGTAGGTCAAAATTGTTACTGGAAGTCTGCCGGGAGTATTCAGTATTTATCTGTTTACACCTGGCTGCAGCAACCATGATTATAGCGAACATGGAAGGGAAGGAACCGGTAGGTCCTATGTTTGAGTCCCGACGGAGGTAGGATTTTCGACACTAGCTAGATGGCTAGGTCGAATTCAGTCGCTGTCTGGAGGAGAATTCTATCGGCCGGCTGCTCTGATCGGTAGTTTTCCGTGGTTTATCCGATCAATGCCAGGCGAATGCAGGAGCAGTATCCTAATAAACCGGCAATGGACCGCGCGCGATCTTTCTTTCTTCCTTCTATTCTCACCCCTTACTTACACACACTAACCCTTAGGTGCCCTACTCTACCACATATGCCGGGAGACCGGTTGGGTGCTTAGAGTTTGTCCCGGCTGAGGCGGTGCCTCGCTGGCGTGATATACTTGGTTGGGGAAAACCCTTCAAGCCGACAGTAGGTCGGCGCCGAATATCACCATCCAGCAAGGGAAGATCCCCACCACCTCTACAGGAAAACGCATGCACTACACTTACGCGACGAATGACCTTAGCAGTTAACGAGCATGGAATCGCTAATCGATTAATCGAAAAGAAAAAAATGGAGGGGAAGTACGCGCAGAAGTGGAGCCAGGTGAAGCAGGGCGAGGCAAGGTCGGTGGGATGGAACGGGGGCTTTGGACAGTGCAGTGCTGGGCATACGAGGGCGTGGAAACGGGAAACACGATAGATAGAATCAATTCATTTTCCTGAATAGACGATTGTGACGAATAAATACTCGGCCTTCGCTTATACGTCCGCTAGTTGTAAATAAATTGTTGATATCCCGTTGAAAATATTTTTTTTTCTATAAAAGTGAAATTTCTTTCCCAAATTCAAATGAAAACTATTCCTTCCAATTCAATAATTTCAAAGAAGTGCATGCTCGTCTGTTCCCATGATCTATTATGTTTATCAACGACGATGTGAGAATGTTTGATTAATGCAGTTATATACATGCTCTAATATGTTTCGTTTTGACACTAGTGGATTTGCAGGTATTAGAGCTAACTTCACATCGGTTTTGAACTATCACCCCCCAACTGCTTTTTCATTGTTCCGAAGAGATAGAAATCTCCAGGTTTGAGCTCCGATCTGTAGGAAGAATGGTCAAGATACAGTATTTGCCACATCAAATCTCCATTTGTGAGTTTCAAGGAGGTGAGCATGGCGAGAAATTCTGCCCGGGAGAGCGTGGGAGCATGCCTCACAGCCGGAGCGTTGTCATCACTAGTTGCGCAACTAAGATTTTCTTGGAGGAGCCAGTAGAATTTATGCAGACAATACCGTCTCTATTTCAACATCTGTTGTGGGGCAACATGAAATGGTTATAAAATTATAGAATATATTTTCCCAT